GAGACAAAATGATCGAAAGTGCCTTGATGAGCGGTGACAGGTGTCAGTGATAACACGTAAATTAACTATTACCAGACATTGTTGTTGGATCTTTTATTATCTCCCTATTATCCTTGTGGAATGAAACATATATTTTTTAACTTGTTCACTCGAAATAAATTTGTTTGCAATTTGGAGCCCCTAATCTTGGCGCCCTAGGCGGTTGCCTCGGTTGCCTGTGCCTAAATCCGGCCCTGAAGAGGTACTGTTTAAAATTCGCAGATTCACTTTTGGTACTTTGAATTTAATAAATCCTATGAGCTTGAACTCTCATCTGTACTTTAAATTATTTAGAACAGAATAAATAAATATGTCAGCCTGTGCTCTTCTTAGGTACCTAAGTTATATGTCACATTTTGATTTGAAAATTTTGAAATATTTCATTTCACCAACAATCTTTTAAAGGCTCAGGGAGGAAACCCAAGGATGATACACACTACTACTACAGGATGGCCTATCCTCATAAGGCCTGTGTGTAACAAATCCCCCCCCCCCCCCCACGCGCCAAACAACCAGTTGTGACGTAAGCAGCATGGCGTTTCTCGCCTTGACGTAGGCTGCTTAAACAGCTGCCGACTTAGTTATGACGTCAGCAATGGTTGAAAACCAATATGGCGGCGATTACCGAGGCGATTACCAAAAACGAGGCCGATAAGCACTCCTTAGAGTGTATATTCTCCTTGGAGGCAACCCGGTTCACGCCTCCTTGAAATTATCCCGCCGATATTCGGTCGCCAGAGCTTCGTCTGTTATCTAGGGGTGCACCGGATCCAGATAGTTGGGTATCAACATCAACTACCACTCGTGCAGGTGAGGTTATCCTTTCGCCCCTTGCATTCTTTGCAACTGATTAATGTGGGTAATGAGACATCTACACCATTTCAACCTCAATTTCGGAAAAAGTAACTTTTATTTAGGAAAATGTAAAGTCATTTTCGGAAAAAGTCAAATCAATTTCAGAAAAAGTAAAGTTAATTTCAGAAAAAGTAAATTCAAATTCGGAAAAAGTAAATTCAAATTCGGAAAAAGTAAATTCAAATTCGGAAAAACTACATTCAATTGCAGAGAAAGTAATGTTATTTTTTAGAATAATTCGAATTGATAAAAAGTAAATTTAGCAATGACTATAAACCTCCAGTCGAACCCGTACCCGGACGGGCTCGATTCCAATCAGTTTACTTTAATTAGGTTCAACATATACACCCCTGGCAAGTAAACATCTTGCATGCCAATTTTAATGCGATAGAATGAAATGTCTTGGGAAAGTCTAAGGTTGTATAGAGAACGAAAACGATTTCCCTTGTTCCACACTCTCTATGTAGCATGCCCAGCGCTTTTTGCTGGAGGTGGAACAGGGGAAATCGTTTTCGTTCTCTATTTAACCTTAGACTTTTTCTAAACATTTCATTCTATCGCATTGAAATTGGCATGTAAGATGTTTACTTACCAGACGTGTAGGTATTGGTTCCATATTATTTTGTAGATCTGATGATGCTCATATGAGCTTAGGGATGCGCAAAATTTTGAAAACATCGATGTTGACATCAAATGATACATCGAATATGCACAATCGATGTTGTAAAAACATCGGCTTGAAAATATCGATGTTTCTAAACATCGATGTTTTCGAAAATATAGGTAAGAAAAAATTAGACTGTTAATAAATAGAATATCATTTTTACTTAGCCTACTTATGTATTTTCAATATAATATACATACACGTAATAAAAATACGATTTATAACGAAAAAAAGTACATTTGAAAGCAAACAATAGCAAGAACTAAGCACTAGGGAGTAACAGCGTTGCCAGATGAAATTAAAAAAAATCGTCAGAATCGAGAAAGAAAAATCGTGAGAAATCATGAGACTAAAAATGTCCTAATGTTATGAGAAAATGAAGCACATAATAATTTTCTTTTATAGATTTTTGATAAAGTAAACATGATTTTACATTCATAAGAAATAAACATTTTAATATTAAATATCTTGTATCCTTGTATTTTTTGTTTTTTAGCAGGTGTGTCTGGAAGCTGATCCTCGCTTTCACATTCACTATCCGCAGCATTGCTCATAAGGCGTACGTTCGCTAATTCCCGAGTCGGCAGCAGGTCTGCGCGTGACGTCACCACTATTAGTAAATGATAGTGTTGACGTCACCCGCAGACCTCGATGGATTACTTGCGATTCAGGCTGTGCATGTGCTTGTGAGTTGTTTTTTTCGTCGATTTTAAATTTAGAAAAGGTGATTCTACCATTTAAGAACTTTCAGCTCAAAAAGCAGTTCTATTAGGTCAAGTTTTCTTGAACGCGCATGTACCAGGAGCGACGTAACATAACTAAATATTGTATAGTAGATTTTTATTTCGATTGAACATTAGATTTAATTACCGATTTGTATTACTTCAGAAAGAATTCGTAAGAATTGCTACCTCATTCGTGAGATCGTGAAATTCTGACCGAAATCGTGTAATCTTACGAATAATCGTGAGATCTGGCAACACTGGGGAGTAACTCTAGTTAGATACCTACTTGACTTAAATTATATGAATACGAGTAACAATCATATTTGAATCACAACTATTATCTAAGAACAGCGATTTTGACTATTTTTTTCCTTTTCCATATAACTCTTGTGTTGTGTCAAAATTTGTCCTGCATTTGAAAATAGTCTTCCATATGGAACCGAAGCTGCTACAACGCTAAAGTATTTTGAAGCTATCTTTGATAGTCGCAGATATACACTCTTTATTTCTTCCCAATGTTCAACAAATAGATTTTCATCAAATTTTGCTAACGGACTGAAAGTACTGGTGTAGTATTTAGAAGAAAACATCGAAAAAACATCGCAAAGAAATATCGATGTTCTCTAATAATATCGAATGAAAAAACATCGATATAAACATCGAACATCGAAATAAGAAAATCGATGTTTTTGAAACATCGATATATCGTGCGCATCCCTATATGAGCTTAACACATGTCACTATTAGGATTGACAAACTATCGAAAAAAAAAACTATCGATAGTGATATCGATATAATGGCTTATCTATCGATAGTAACCATCGATTGTCCAATCGATAGTTTGCTTTGGTACAATTAATCAAAAAATAAATGTATATTTTTTTGTTTAAAGAAAATAGGACTCAAAAACTCAAAATCCAACCAGTGTTGCCAGAGGTGATATAATTGTACCAGATTTGGTACCATTCGCTTTGAAAAAGTACGCTGGTACGACGTTCGCAGGTACAGTTTTCAATTTCTTTATTCTTTCTAAATTTTCAGTCTTAGCCTACTGCCTACTTAGTCTAATGTCGATGTTCTAATTAATTTGTATTTCTGTATCTAAATTCGATGTAACAATAATTTCTGATTCGTAAATAGATGGCGCCACCAATGTAACCCTCGTTTTGTGGTTCTTGGTTGACGTAGTTCGTAGTTTGTGTTAAGTTTAGGTTTCCACTTTTCATCAAATTAAAACAAAACGTGCTTTCCTATTGGATCAAAAATAATCCTCATTTTCCAGGAAACGCATGCGCATTATAAGCTGGTACATTTTTACTGAATCTGGTACAACCTATTTTGCATGTCTACCCATGATCTACACCCAAAAAATAATTACAGATTTCTCAAAACAGCTACAGATTTCTTTATATTCCCCTCAATTTACAGATGTCTTCATTTAACTTTGGCTACTTTGGAACTATCGATATTGGTACAGGTCTATCGATACTATCGAAAATTTAAAAAATATCGATAGTATCGATATTCCTATCGATAGTTTGTTATCCCTAGTCACTATTAAGAGAATAAAATAATAAACAATCTGTAGACACGGTAATTTTTTTCTTTCTTTTATTATTTAAAAATCGAGTCTCTTTGAGAAATATGGACAAATTTTTTGCTTTTTAAGTAGATAAATGACTCAATCAATTCAAATTAGTCTATAAAAATAACTTTACTTTCTCCGTAATTGAATGTATTTTTTCCGAATTTGAATTCACTTTTTCCGAATTTGAATTTACTTTTTCCGAATTTGAATTTACTTTTTCCGAAATAAACTTTACTTTTTCTGAAATTGATTTGACTTTTTCCGAAAATGACTTCACATTTTCCTAAATAAAAGTTACTTTTTCCGAAATTGAGGTTGAAATGGTGTAGATCTAGCAAGCTTATACTGGTTATGGTTAGGGGATTTTCATGGAAAAACTCAAAGTTGGCCCAAAAAACAGGTGGAAAAACTAACGAACTTGTAAGTGAACAAAAATTTTCCCAATTTGTTTTAAATCGATAGTTTATTCTGCACAATATTTTTATGACCAGTTTTTATTTAACTGATACCGTTACGTTGTTACACAAAAAAATAATATTAAATTTGAAATAAAAAAATTCCCGCCAAAAAAATGCTTCCATGATCTTGCATGATGGCTACCTTTTTTGACGTCACGATTCTGTACACAAACCAGGCAATAGGGAACTTACAAGTGAAACAACAAAGCACTCCTTTACAATATTGTTCATTCATTGCGACAATTTTCACAAAAAGCAAACTTTGACACACTTGAATAACACAAGAATAGCACTGCGTCAGCAGGAGTTCGTTTGCTGCGTTTGTTGTTTACAAAATCTTGACGTCACGAGCGCTATCACCTTGAAATTTTGCGTTTCCGCGCCAAAGTTTTTGATTTGAATTTCAATAGTTTTTTTCATACAACATATAAATTTAAATTAGAAAAAAAAAACTATGTAATATCAAATCACTAGAAGTACTTTTCTAAAAAAGAAAAGAAATATAAAAATTCCTTATAAGCAATCCTCTTTGAGTAATATCCTTGCTTCGTGGTGGATTTTTCTGTATTTGGAAATATATTTGATTTTTATCAAGTTTTCTTACACAAAACAGGAAATTGAAGTAATATCTGTGGATCCCCAAGCTAAGTTTCACAACATTTGCAAGGGATTTTTTTGATTTTTACGGCACTGTGCAAAATATGACAACACTGGATTTCTAATTTTGTTACCCCCTGGGGCCCAGGCTTGGAAACGGTACATTGCATTTTACTGTACATCTCCTTTGTTTTGATTTTTCTTCAAAATTACCAATTTATCAATTCTCCTAATGAATTTCTAATAATTCATACAAAAAGTGAATGAAAAATAATTTCTTAACAATTTTTCAATGTTGGCAACAATCAATTAATTCAAATTTTGAAATTTCTTCCCAAAAATGGAACATCTTGCAGAAGATTTGTCTGTGGCCCTCGAAGAATCAGAATCTTGTGGCCCCATCGCCACTCAGTCCGCTGGCAATTGGGGAATGAGAAAACGCACCCGTTCCGATGGAAATTTACACCGTAATTATTATTCTAATAACTTTTCTATGAGCTATTTTTAATCCTTTTTAAGACATGTATTTACACAAATCAACCGATAACAACTCAGAAGAGAGCTCGAGCGATCCTTCAGAATTGAAATCGGACAAGCACAAGGCGAAACTTGTTAGTTTCCACCAGTCGGACTCGGATGATTTGAGTGCCGTTGTTGCCAGAACTCTGAACAACAAAAACTCTCTTCGAATGAAGCATTCAATCAATAGATTTTTTAGAGGTAACTATAGTCTACCAAAGTGAATGAATTGACATCTCATTTTCTTTCTCTGTGTCTGTTGGAACTGACAATTGCGTAGGAATAATTGTTACTTACATTTATGACAATCAGATATGGTTTTAACAATTAAACCCAACTGTCAGTTGCAACTGACAATAATTATACCCAATAGTCAGTTCCAAGTGATTGAAGTGATAATTTTACCTAAATTATTGTCAGCTCCAAAGTGACAATTATGGCTAGTTGTCAGTTCTAAGACTAATGACAATTAGGTATACTTATTGTCAGTTCAGAGTTGGTTAAAACCGGAATTTTTTAAAATTTCTATTGGGTTTTTGTGTTTTCAAAATTTTAAAAAATGAAATTTCAATTTCTATAGGCTTATTCTTGAGCTCATCTTATTTACAGTTTTTAAGATTTTGTCAAATTTAGAGGTAAAATACAGCTCAGATGACAGATATATAGAGTTTATGTCATGAGCATTTCAACTATTATACCTATTCTATGATTTGCTCATATTTTTTCTGATCCTCAGATCAAGAGAGAGATTTGAAAAGAAACTTCATTGGCTCATATGTAAATCTTAGAGCAGAGTTTTCAATTTTTCAGATCCAGAACAAGAATGTTGGTGTGTGGAGTGTTTTTTTCTCTTTACTGCTCTCATTTTTCATTCCGATTGTTAGTTGTATATTTGAGACCAATAAATTATGATTTTTTAAAATTTATTTTCAGATTTGCCCTTATGTATTATGTATTTCTAGATATCTCAGATTCAAAACAAAATGTATTTTAAATGATTTTGATGATTCTAGAAATGAAATATTCAAGAAAAAGTTTTAAATTCTATAGGCTCATCTCGAGGCTCATCTTATTTACAGCTATTTAGATTTTGTCAAATTTAGAGCTAAAATGCAGCTCCAGATGAAAGACATAATATAGAGTTTATGAGCATTTCAATTATCAGATCGAGTATCAGATTCTATGATTTGCTCATATTTTTTTGAGTCTCAGATTTAGAGAAAGATTTGTGAGGAAGTTTCATTGGTTCATAACATTTGAAGCCAAGTTTTGAATTCCTCAGATCCAGAGCAAGAAATGTTGGTGATGTGCAAAGTTGTCAGGAACTTTAAGAAAAATACTTGAAATTGTACAGGGTGGCCCAAATTCGAGCCTCATCATGGGGATCTCGGAAACCGTAAGAGATACAGGGTCGGTTAAATTATGTCAAAGTTGCGCATTTTGATGCTTAACAAAATGCCGCTTTGATATTTAGGATATTCCAAATACTTCCGGAGATATCCAGAAAAATCCAAAATTACGCAAAATAGTTTTTATTCTTTCCTGACTTTATTTGAAGTAATATTTCGAAAAAAATTTCACTTCATCATAGCCACTTTCTCTCCCCTACAAGATGCTACCATCAAATTTAAAATCTGACGTTTCGTCTTTGGGCTACCATCATCAACTTATTTTTTTTAAATACAACCCTGGATTTTTTTTAACTCCAGTGGCGTTAGGGGGGGCAATTTAATAAAATTTATTGACGAAAAAATGTACGCCACTGACTTTAATTTAATTTCGATTTTTCTTTCAGATAAATCAACTAAAACTGCAACTTTTTTGTCTCTTAAATTTTTCTCGTATCTTGCTTCGTTTACAAAATAAAAAATGAAAACTATTTTCTTGCTTGTCCATTGTGATACAAAAACATTACAAAAACTGTTCAAAGTGACCACCTCCGGCGTGGATGCAGGAATCCAATCTTCTCCTCATTGACTGGCGAACTCTCTCAAAAATACCAGGGTCATTTCTAATTGAGTTACATCCACCAATGATTTGAGCTCTTAGGTCTAATCTTTACCACCCTGTATCTTGCAAAAAATGCATTTCCGGACCTATGTTTATGGGAATATTGCCGTGTCTTTTTTAAACACCCTGTATACAAGTAGCATATATATAAAGTAGCATTTCGCGCACGGCATCGTGGGAACGTTAAAAAAACCATACCTGTATACAATGTCAAAAAAAATTATAAAATTTTTGAAAGATTCACAAATTAGATTAATATGGATTAAAATAGCAAAAATGTATGCAGACAAAATTGATAAAATGTTTGATTAATTAACAAAACTGACACTTCTGAACGCCACTTTCGCGCACTAGTGCGGGAAAATAATTTTCCCGCACTAGTGCGGAAAAGTGACATTTTCGGAACTAAAATGCGTGCGGGAAAGTGATAAAAAATGCACGCTCGTAGAAAAACACTTTTCCGGCCTAGGCCGGGAAAGTGATTCTCGTACTGCTGAATAATTGGAAACAAAAGACAAACATTTAACAGGTATTTAACCGATCGCAAAAAAAATAGTATGTGTATTTCGGTGGAAAAGTACATTCTCGGCCTTCGGTGTTTGCCGGCCTCGGCTACGCCTCGCCTGTCAACATATACCGTCGGCCGAGAATGTGTCACTTTTCCACCTAAATACACAATATACTATTTCACTTCTTAGTAATTTCCTACCAAAATTATTTTCTCTGTCTCTCTCTTACACATTTGGTTCTTATGGAAAGTGCCAAGTGCCAATAATATAAATTTTTCGAATAAATGCGATACGTCATAGGTTTTGGAATATCAGAAGCTCTTGAAATCTGAAATAAAAAATAAAGGTCCGTATTTAGAAAAATAAAGTTGATGATGGTGGCCCAAAGACGAAACGTCAGATTTTAAATTTGATGATAGCATCTTTTAGGGGAGAAAAAGTGGCTACAATGAAGTGATATTTTTTCTGAAGTATCACTTCAAATAAAGTCAGGAAAAAATAAAAACCATTATGCAAAATTTCGGTTTTTTCTGGATATCTCCGGAAGTATTCGTGACATAATTTAACCGACCCTGTATCTCTTACGGTTTCCGAGATCCCAATGATGAGGCTCGAATTTAGGCCACCCTGTACTCAAAGTTCTTATAAGTACTTGAAGTACATTTGATAAACGGTACTTATACTTGGTACTTGAATTATTTTTAACAATGTACTTTGCATTGTCCTTGATTTCATCAAATACAATGAAGTATGTACAGGGTGATCTATTATAAATGTCACCCCTGCTAACTTTTTTATTTGACGTTTTTGACAGAAGTGTCAAATACAAAAGTTTTAAGAAATTGTCAAAAGTTTTCAACTAAGTCAATTTTAGGCATACAGGGTGCGTCAAAAAAGTGCAGCAGTGTAAAGTTATGTTTTTTAAATGGAACACCCTGTATATTGTGCGCTTATTTGTTAGTCTCCTTCAACCTGATTTCGATTTCAACGCTATACGGTTTGATATGTTTATCTCTCAGTTTATCTTCAATAGTTATAGGAAAAAACGCGAAAACCCCTACTGAGGTCTCTCATGTTATTTTCTTAAAAATAATAATAATAGCTTAGACATTAAATGGTATATTTTTTCTTTTCCAATATAAAACCTTGGAAGGGGTTTTCATGTTTTTCCCGATAATTATTGAAGATAGACGTATCAAACCGTATATCGTTGAAATCAGGTTAAAAGGAACTAACAAATAAGTACACAATATACAGGGTGTTCCATTTGAAAAAATATAGCTTTACACTGCTGCACTTTTTTGATGCACCCTGTATGCCTAAAACTGACTTAGTTGAAAACTTTCGACAATTTCTTGAAACTTTTATACATGACACTTTTGTCAAAAATGTCAAATGAAGAAGTTAGAAGGGGGTGACATTTATAATAGATCACTCATCTGTACAAATAAGTGGATTATTGCGGAACTTATGGGTGGACCTCTCGCCATCTACTCACCAATATACTGTTGAACTATTCAAATAAGACATTCACCTGAAATGTGAAGTTTTTAAACTAATGAGAATAACTCACATTTGAGTGAGTCAGGTTAGTATCCTATTTAAACAACATATTGATGAATAGATGGCTGCGGAACTCGCTGCGCTCGTCCCGCAGAGATCCACCCATAAGTGCTGCAACAATCCACTCGTTTGTACTTGAATAACTTGTCACATTATGTTACTAGTTTGGTAAAGTAACATTACTAATTCCTTTTTAAAGGTAAATTGACAAAAAGTGGATAATCTCACAAATTCTGACTTTATATAATAAGTTATTGTTCAAGTACAGGATGTTTTTTTTTTATATATTGACACCCCACCTATAGCCTTCACCTTTACAAGTAGATGTAAGGTGTAAATACAAAAGTTAATTCTACACCTTTTTATCTTATTTTCTCCCGGACTATTAGGAATAAACATAAAAAACTTAGTATATTTGAAATCAGGTTTGAAAGGCAAATCCAATGGACAATGATATACAGGGTGATCTATTCAAGAAATATAACTGCTTCGCCACCCTGTATACTTGTAACTAACTTCATTGTAAAGTTTCCGATACCTCCAACTTCCATTTGGACATTTCTGGGTATCTCTTTAAATAGGTGGGATAGGTGTGGGTACAAAATATACATAGACATTCACCCAGTACTTCAAAAGTGTACTTGAAGTAGTTTATATTTTTTAATATTTTGAGTAATACAGACATTGGAGGCTGCTTTTTGGGTAATTTTTGACAAAGGTTCCAAGAAAGATAATAAATGAAAAAATTGTCATGTTTTATCTGTTTTATATTATATATTTATGAGAAAGACGCCATTATAATGTATTTGAAGTACAAGTACTTCAAATACTTCAAGTTGAGAACTTTGAAAAATTCAAGTACTTGGTAATTGGAGTAGGTACATTTGAGAAAGAATACTTTCGTTTTCAAATCTTGAGTACATTGTACTTGTACTTCAAGTACTTTAGTAATGTACTTGTGAAGTCGAGTGAGTATAGTTTTTTTCTCTTCACTATTTTGATTTTTCACTTCAAATGTTGTCTATTTCAGGCTACTAAATTATGAACATTTAAAACAAATTCAAGAGCCGGGAATAGGAAAATTATTTTATTAATTTAGCTTATTGTTGTTACCCTGTAAAATTCTTTATACCTACATTTATAATTTATTACTTTGAAATAATCCTAGATTTTCAGTTGATATTTGTTAATCTAGGACACATAAACCCACTGGGTTTTCAAAATGGGTTTTTGTGTATGCTAACCATTCAAGTATGTCAACCCTGTATCAGCTCGATTGACAGATGGTTACTGAAAATTTCGGTTGCTTGGGGAACATGAATATGAAATAAAAAATTATTGCCAAAATATAGATAAAACCAATAGAACCGACATTTGATAGCCAGTACATAACTATTTTGATATTTGGTTAACCAGATTTCAGGAAACCAAAGCTCAAAAGTAATCAATTTTAACGAGATGTCTGTTCAGCACTTTTGTAATCGCCAATTTCATTAATAACAAAAAATTGATTATCCTCCAGGTGTAAGTCACAGTTTAGAATCAGATTCAGTAAACGAAAATTCCCCAGCGAGTCGTCCCAGCATGAGACGCAAACGAAAGTTCAAAAGGATGAGCATCGATGAAACACCAATTCCCCCAACTGGCAAAAGGAAGAGATCTCAACGAATGGATTTAATGGACACAAATGGTAGATCCCTTAGAAACATCACCAAAATCAAACCATTACATCAAAGCATTGTGGATAAAATTGAGAAATTCTGTCAGCCCAATAATGCTGTGGTTGACCTTGACGCCACAATGGAAACTGAAGATGATAATTGGGAAATTGCTAGTGAAAGTAGTATAAGTTGGAGCGGTGGCGAGGGAAATGAAGGAGATGATGAATTGACTGACTGGGCCCCTTCAATGGATTCTTCTTCCATTGATCAGAGTCCTTGGAATGAGGATTCTAGAGAAATAAGAGCAGGTGAGTTTCAAATCATTATTTTATTCAAACAAGTAATTTTTCTCTATAGGTTGTCGCAGAGTCCATGAAGAAAGACCAGGCTTCAGTATTAACACTGGTGCAAACGAAAGAGTGGCCAAATTCCTTCAAGACTCTTCCAAATTCGAACTGCGGATATTAGGGGCAGAACGCGATAAGATTTCTCAATTGGCCGCTTTGTATTCGCTAGATTTGTGGTTTGAGTCCTCTGGGACCACTCTGCTGCGTAAAACTAGTAAGACTCCTTATATGCAACCCACTCAGCGCCATCATTCAGGCCATAGTTCTCATCACAAGAGGATTCGGACTCATAAGGGTGGGATACCCTGAAAAAAGGGGTTGTCTAGTTTAAGTACTTAGTTTTTTTTTTTTTCCATTGACTCCAAATTAGTTTTATAGAGAGCAGAGATTTTTTCCTTAACTTATTGACTAAATGACCATTAAAATTCCTTATTATATTGTAATTGTCTTATTGGGATTGTATGTCTTTTACTAAGGCAGTTGTAGAAAAAATCTAATTTGAAAATTTGTGTGGTCCACCATTAGGTCTGTTCCAGTAAAAATTACAAACAGAATATAATTGTTTTCAATCCCTTTGTGAATCATAGTTCTGCATTTCAACAATTGAAAAATTTGGGTTTTTTGTTATTATTGTCCTAAGATTAAAATAGATTTTTTTTTTCTATTTTGTACCATAATTAATAGTACTGATAATATGTTATTGTATAGATAGAATTTGTGTCTCAACTATTTATTAATATGAATTTTTTTTTTGTTATACGTAATTAAATACCAATAAATCCAATATTTATTGTTTTACTCCCTATGATATAAGTGTATGATTAAGTATATCTACGCACAATTGATGATTATTTCCAATAATTTTCCTATCTACGTCGAAGCTCCATTGTTTGCTTAAAAAATTAATAATGTTTTATGTTTATATTTGAAATTTTCCAAAAGCTAATTGACGTCTGTTTGATAAAATCCAAAGCTTAATAGGTTTTATACGCACTCATACTCATTTATTTTTATTTTTTTTAATGAATTCGTATTTAGTAATTTAGATAAGAGTCCAAAAGGATTAAAATATTTGGAAATTCGTGTGTTTATTGAATCATTTTTTATACAATAAATTTCAGAAAAGGGAGTAGTGTGGATACTTATTGTTTTGCCTATACAAAAGTTTGAACAGTCAAAAAAGAATATAAGGAACATCATTTCCAAATTACAATTTCGAGAGAAAGACACTGATCCACAAGCCATCAATATAGAGGCACCTCCAAAGTCATCAGAAAAGATCTAAGGCAGTTTGAAATCATACAGACCATTGAAGAAAATAGGAGCATGAAAGTGCTTGCAAAGTTATTTGGAAGTTTTTTTAGGTACCCGAAACGGTGTATCTTGGTACTGCTTCCAGTACTATTTGTTCTCAAGACGGGTGGAAATGTCCAACCAAATAGCATGCCATTCTAGCACTGTATTGGGGATATGCACTATGACGGGATTATCTGCAAACTGAAGAATAAACAGGCACCTATCATTTATCTCTATACCTATCCCATGGATCTTCCTCTTCCAATTTTTCAGTGCTACTGCTACGTATATATATTTTAAAAAGTATAGGAAAGATACAAACATCCTTGAGGTAGTCCTTTATTCACTATACCTAAATGTGCCTGTGAGTTTTTTACCTATCTTAATTCTTGATTTTGAGTCCTTAGTTCTTCAAGTGCTGTTATATAGGTGTTATTGATGTTGGATTGTTCCAATACCTTCCATAGTCTGGATACTGGGACTGTATCGTATGCTTTTTGTAGATCAGATCTTTTTTCTATGACTTATTTTAGGCAAAATACGTTGTCTGTACCTCATCTTCCTACTCTAAAACCGAACTGCTATTCTTTTTTTTGTTCATAATCTTCTTTAATGAGATCACGCAGGATTTTACCGTATAGTTTGCTTGTAACTGATATGCCCCGATAGTTATTGCAGTACAGTTTATTTCCTTTTTTGTGAATGCGGATGATATAAAAGCCGTTTTTTAGTCTTGTGGAACAGGATGTTCATTTAGGCATTTATTGATAATACATGTGAGACCTTTAAAGATTTCCCCATTTCAGCATTTTGGGGTATATCCCTTCTGGTCTGCTAGTTTTACCTGACTTAAAATTCTAAACATTATTTTTTACTGTTTCTTCAGATATTTCAACTACTTCTCCATGTATTTCAATATGTCTTGGAGAATCTAATATCCGGTCTACTTTCTTGTAATAGACCCTCGTAGTGTTCCATCCATTGCTCTGGTTTGATCACTTGGTTATTAGCTCTGGGCCTTTCCTGGGCTTTTGACATTTGATATAAATCTCCATACCTCTGAGTATTTCCTTCCTCTCATATGTAGCTGCTAATTTCTTCACATTTATTATCCCATGACTCGTTCTTAGCTATAGTGATGTCTTTCTGTGTCTTATTTCTATATGAATAAATTGTCCCAAAACCTTACATGAATATACATAATTAGGTATTTTACCTACGGAAGTAAATCCAATATAAAATCCGCATTCAATTAATCTAAAAAAGTGAAACTTTTTGCGGTTTTAAATCTCGTTGTAATAATATAGGAAATTCAAGTATCGGAAAATATGCATCGACCACAATAATTTGATTAGTGTGAATAATTGATTAGATATTGAACTACTTATAGAAAATTGAAATTGATTTATTATTATGTTTTGAAATAGCTCCTTTGCGTTATTATGATGATGACATACTTTTAAAAGCATTAAATTCTTTATAAATCTGTGCTGAATTCGATTTTTTGTTAAACTCAAAATCCCAATATACATTTGTTCAAACCTAATGGGAGCTACATTTCCTGACAATTTTGATTCGATAGACTACTACTACTTCTATTTTATCAGCTTCCTAAAATCCTTAAATTATTTCTACAAAAAAAAATCCGTTTTGGAAATGTGTCTTAATTCTGAGACAATTATAAAAAGTCTGTGGTTTTCATCAAGGCAAGATTAATGGTAAAGCAACATTTAATTATTATTACCAATAACCGAAGAAAACCTGAAACTAAGTAGGTAGGTACCTAAGTACCAATAATTACAAAAAAAAAAACATGCAATAACAAGATATGCATCAATCAATTAAAAATAAACCAAAACAAAAGACCAACGACACAGATATTAAACTTTGCTATAAGAAACAAGAAAAGGAAGTAGGTAATCGCAATAAATTGAGTAGGTAATCGATATTTCATGTGAATAAAGGACTATAGCATATTTCATAGGTAGGTATAATTTCAATTAGGTACACATCATTTGAAGAAAAAAGGAAAAAAAGGACTGAAACATGCTACATCAACATAGAATTAAATATATACTTTCAAATATTTATTTTGGAAAAATCTAATTAGCTAATAAGCGTATACTGCATCTCAGATTACTGTATACTGTGTGGGACTAATTTTGAATTTGCTTTAATTCTAGATGATCTAAACTGTACATGATACAAAATCCTCTAAATATTTAATTTTAATTATTATTGCATAAAAAGTCATGTAAGACCAACCAGAAAACATTTCCTCGCACAAAACCACACAATTAATTACAATAAGATGAACCTCTGAAAACCGTTAAGGTATCCACCGAAACGTGAAATTTGATGTACCACGCTTAATCTACCAGTAAAAACTCATTTAAATAATCCATCTGATTTTGAAAATTATAGGTAAATTATTCCTTATAGTACTGCGAAACCTAATTTGTTGCCAAAAGATTACCAAATAAATAAGGCAGGGATTGTATTTAAGCTTACAGCTTAAAAAACTTACGGTCAGTAGTAGTGTCGCGGTGGTTTATTCAAATGATTTCGAAATGATTTCCTTATTGAATCTAGCTGTAATTTTCTTGTCTGTTAGTGTCAGTGGTCGTCATATTTTAGAAGAATTCGACTTAGATGCTGCTGCAGCTGAACCTAGACCGACAGTTATTGAAACTGGACCTTCTGCCGAAGCTTTACATTTAGTTTACAGTGAGGATACAACTCGTGGACCTTTAAGTGTAGCTAGTGAAAAAGTTGAAAAATTTTTGAGACCTGCATACTCGTTTGCTTATAATAAAGTATGATGTTTTTATTTTACTTAAAGTGTTTTTTAAAAACATAATTTGTAGGACGATGATGATGGCGATATAGCTGAATCAAATAAAGATGAAGCTGAATCAAAGATAGATGAAGATGATGATCAACGTGAAAAAGAAGCTACAAACAAAGGAGAAGATGCTGAAGTTGAAGTGGCTGAAAGCAAACATCCTGAACACAAAGACCATGCAGGTAAGTCATTAATACCAATTTCAAACTGAGTTGTTACTCAAAGTTTTATGCAGCAAAGTTTGAAAAAGCCGGTGGCAAAGATACCCATTCTGATCATCACGGGGCGCACGGTGAAAAAGGCGATAAAGGCTACAAAGGGCACCATCATCACGAAAAGGGCCAGAAAGGCCATCACGATAAAGAAGACCACAGCAAACATTATGACGAACATGGTGGACATAAAAAAGAGCATCATCATGACGATGGATATCATGGGGATTACCATAAGAAGCACGGTGGCAAAAAAGCAGCAAAGGTAAGAGATTTTTTAGGATTTCCAAAGTAGGTATCTAATAAGACTTTGTTGTTAGTATGAAGAAAAAGGAGAGCACAATAAAGGCCACACCACCAAAGGAGAGCACAATATCCACAAAAAGGAAGAATACGATAAAAAAACTGAATTTTTCGAAGAAGAAAATGAAGGAGGCGAAAGTGAAACTCATGGAGGATTCAAGCATGAAAGCGATTATAAAAAAGTAAGATCATTATTATTATAGTACAATAGTAAACAGTTAACACTGATGAAACTATTGTAATAATGAATATCCAGTTTGAATAATGCACTTATATCCGGGGTCGACCTTATTCTTGAAAGAATTCAAACTCTGCCCGGTGACTGTAGAATTTGACAGGCAATTCGATTTGATTTTGAGGAAGTTCCTTCTTGGAAGCTTGGGGTTGTAGTAAATTTTTCTTCGCTTAGTCTCACTTATTGGGCCACACTTCTATAGCTCTGACATCTTCTTGCAATTTCTTGTGTTCTGCGGCCTTTGCATACAAATTCATGTCGGATTTTGGTTTGGATATTTAATGTCATATCGCTTTTTTGATACAAATTGTAGCCAGGCTTCCAAAGTGATGTAATTTATGCAAGAGGTAGCTGTGGCACACCTTATCGAACGCCTAGATGCTTGTTTTAATCCGTATAAAGATTTTTTTCAATTTGAAAACAAAATTTTCAGATAATTCTATACCATTTGGTGCATGCTCTATTCATTGTCATTCTGGCTACAGGTGAATATATCTCATCATAATCTTTTTGTGCAAAACCCCTAACAACTAACCGTGCCTTGAATTTATCATTTTCACTTTCTTCCATCGATTTATAAGAAAATACCTATTTTGTATCTAAAATGTGATAATAATTTGGTTTCTCCACCTTTTCCCATGTATTATTAATTTCAATTGATTTGAACTCTATCTACAGCTCCTAGCCATTTTTCCAAATAAGTGGATCATTGTCACATCTTAGTTTACGTGGGTACCATAATTATGCTGAAAATTAAATTTAATCTGCAAAGGATCCTAAATACCAAATTTTTCGAACCGGAGGCAATCCAAACAAAAACCTCACTTCTTCTCTTCTTCGGTTATGGTTAGTGCAAAGGGTTATAGATTCAAGATGACTTTACCCTTTTATTGCCAAAGTTGCTAACTCCCTTCCTCAATTGCACAAACCGGCACGAAAGATCTTTTTCGGCCACTACCAGTGATTAGAGCAATTTATGACACCAAAAATGAAAACTCCTTTTTTTTAAAAGAATAAAATTAATTTATTTAAGAAAAGAATGAATAATAAAAAAATAAAAATTAATGAAGACAATGTTTGATTTCCAATTAAAGGTTTAGACTAAAAAAATAGATTTTGAAAGAAATTGAACTGAAATAAACCATCACCTTCTTTGGAGAGCTTTTCCACTAATCACTGAGTGGTAAATGAACTTAGGAGAAGAACGGATCGAGCGACCACTGTGACGAACACTAACTCGTTAAGTTTTTGTTTTATTCTAACAATTTCCGACGATAACTGCCGATAACTGCATCAACTCTCGCTCAAATAAGCGAGAGAGAACCAACCCCTATTTCTTGAGGGTACTGTTCTTACCAGCTCATTGGCTAGCTGTTAGTACCTAGCCCTCTCAATATTCCTTATTGCTCTTTCCTTATTGGTTCTCGTATCGTTCATCCTATTTACACTTTTAGTGACATAGTTTGAAAGCCCTCCAATAGAGTTAGCTAGTCATATGAAGAATATAATTTTAATAACTGAAAATTACCGTTTTTCCTTTAATTGGAAAATATTTCTTTCTTATATGCCTTCTGTTAACCTAGTTAAATGAAACAAACAGTTTCTTAATTACTAATGTAACTGAGTAATAAACCTAATTACTTAGCCTAATCACCGGTGTGAAATGAATTAAATTATTCTATACCTACTTAAATACTAATTATGCTTAAAATGATAGGGTAGTTTACTATCTCCTTTCTTATCTTATCTGTTAATAACATTTAATTCCTACAGTTTTCATTTCACCCTTGATTTTCCTATTACTATACAATTTTGTGTTATTGTATTTTGGAAAATCTGGTTCCCGTAATCATTGTTTTAGCTCATACACATGCTTCGAATATAAGTTCAGTATCAGTTCTCTGACATCTGGGTTCGCCATAAAACGTTGGGAATTATCGTTCTTGAATACTTGATTACAAACATATGTCGTGATCTGGTGCAGCTACAGATTAGAATCACATTTGGTGTTTATCTAGGAGAATACATAATTTTGCCTAATAAATTTGTCAATTTTGGCTTATATTTGACTTGAAACTATAAAATTTGATACATTTTTTGCTTTAAGTGCTTTCTCTTAATTCTCGACCAGATTAGTTATCGTTCCCAGAATCGCCATATTTTTGTAAAACCCATTAAGATAACATTTTAACTATTTCTAAAAACCGTCTCTGGTAACTCCCATGAAATACGTACTTGAACCGAGATTTGAAATTTACTATTAATTCTGGTTAGTATCATAATTAAACAACATATTGATGAATAGATATGGCCTGCGGAACTCGCTGCGCTCCTCCCGCAGAGGTCTACCCATAAGTTCCGCAACAATTCACTCATTTGTACTTGAATAACATTGTCACATTATGTTACTAGTTTGGTAAAGTAACATTACTTATATTCCTGTTGAAAGGCAAATTGACAAAAAGTGGATAATCTTACAAATTCTGACTTGTTATTGTTCTAGTACAAATAAGTGGATTGTTGCGGAACTTATGGGTGGAGCTCTGCGGGACGAGCGTAGCGAGTTCCGCAGCCATCTACTTATCAATATACTATTGAACTGTTCAAGTAAGACATTCACCTGGAAACGTGTAGTTTTTAAACTAATAAGAATAACTCACATTTGAGTGAGTCAGGTTACTATCGTAATTAAACAACATATTGATGAATAGATGGCTGCGGAACTCGCTGCGCTCGTCCCGCAGAGGTCCACCTATAAGTTCCGCAACGATTCACTCATTTGTACTTAAATAACTTGTCACATTAAGTTACTAGTTTGGTAAAGTAACATTACTAATTCCTGTTGAAAGGCAAATGACCCCGCAATATTTAAATGGAAATTGGTTACCCGTGATATTTGGATGAAATTTAAATATGTTATTGGGGATGCCGTAAGCAACATTTTTTACCATAGGCACAATTCTGTATATATGACAGATGAGGCGTGGTTAGCTGTCAAATATTGGAATCTTATATCCAAAAGCAACTATGGCAGATTTTAATGAACAAAAAAATCTATTCCTACTAAGTCGACCAAGATAAGTCGAAAAATGTGAACCATTTTGACACCTGTCAAAACCCTGCCAAACGGCAGCACTCATCTTTTCCAGTTTTCAATATTTGATGATGTCATTTGATATTTTTAACTTGTATGTAAATTCTGAATTCGAAATTTGAAAAAAATTACATCATTGTAGATTTCATTTATAAGTGTCAAAATGTTTGAGTACTTTAATGATTTCATTATAGTACTGAGTACTATAATGACTTTAATGAAATAAAATCCCTATACTAAAACTACATACTTTAAAATCGAAATTGACATCTCTGTCAAAATCTGAAACCAGCGTGTAATGTTTTTTCATGCGTTATCATAAATAAGCCTAACTTAAATTGGAAAAGAGCTAGATTTGATTCTTTTTTGAATTAAATCAATTGACAGATTCTGGCAGCTGTCAAAATGTGACGTGCATGAACTTTGTTTAATGTTTTATCACCAATAAATTCGTAAGTGTATCCGTATCGCATCCCTGACTAAACGTCAAAAATTCACAGTAACATAACCTGAAAAAATTGTTATATTCTTATTTCTTATTCTTAGATTGTTTATGAATTTGTTTTGTTGTTCGTTCACTGTTCAGTTTCGCGATGGATAAAAGAAAAAGATTATTTTATACAGCGGACGATGACCTGCTTGACCGAAGTTGTTGGGGTAGTCCTAGAGCCCTGACTGATCTTTGGTATGTGATCTTTTTCGAATCTGAACATTGACAAACACTGGGCATTTTTCAAAAAATGCAGATCAAAAATTCCATAAGGAGCGGCTCTGCTGTTACCAAGCAAATCATTTTCATTCAATATGTGAGTGACAATAAGATCGTCTAGAGTCTAGATCGTCGTCGTCATTATCCTCATCAACAAAAAAAAATTATTCACAATTATCCATGAGCAAATAAATTCGAATCAAAATAACGTCACTTTTCGAATGATTAAAACAAAATATGACTACCTATGAGGTTAAAAAATATGACGGAACAAGATACGGATACGAAAACTGAAGTTGAACAGCTTATGGCGGTTTCACATCGGTAACGTAAGCCAATAACGATACGATTACGGATACGGATAAGTACGCATTTTTTAGGATCTGCTTTAAGTCCCTTACAATCTCATTATCATCATCTGTCTCACTTTGATACTTTATTTGTCTATTTACCATTCCTATTATGTCTATCCCATCGAACGTTTCTGTCAAATATTCTTTTTTTTTAAACTCAAAACTCATTCTCATTAAATTTCACATCTCTTACAGTAATTATTTCTCTATTCGTATATATATACCATAATCTATAACCTGTTTGAGCATAACCCCATCATTATGCATTTCTTAACTTTTGAATTAAATTTTCCTCGACATTCTTTTGGTCTGACTCGGGGGCAAGTGAATGGCTGAGCGGCAGTAAAAGTACGAGCGGCACTAAAAGTACTTTTGCTGCCGCTGGCTGGGGTTGTCAAGGAGCATAGAAATTAAACTTCTACCACCTCGACAGGTGTTAACCCGCTGGATTTGCCTGGCAGCATAGAAATCAAATTTCTGACATCTTGACAGGGGTTAACAAAGTGACGTTTTTTTGACGTTTGGAATTTCGAGAAATATTCGACTAATAACGTGGAATTCAATGAAATTTCAAAAAATTGTCATAAAAATTTTAGTTATATTCCGAGGAATTTCTAAGAAATTATAGGAAATGTCAGTGAAATTCCGAAAAATTTTGTGGAATTCCAGGATATAGCAGTGGTAAAGTTTTTGGAAGTTTCAGTTTCAAAAAAATTTGGAATTTCTATAGAATTTTGGAAAATTTCAGTGGAATTTCAAAAAAAAAAAAATGAAATATTCGCAAAATTTCCATCAAATTATATGCATATAATTTCATTTTGTGTTGACTTACATAAAATTTCCATGAAATGTCGAGTAAAATTCCAAGGAATTCTCGTCGAATTACATCCATGGAATTCTTTGAAACCTTATTGTGGAATTCCAGTGAAATTACATGAAATCCGAAGAATTCCCTTGAAATTAAACAGTGAAACTTCCATGGAAACACGAGAAATTTTCGACAGAATTCCGAAGAATTGAATTAAATTTTAGTAAAATTCTGAGTAATTTCTGTCGAATTACATAAAATTTTAGGTGGAATTACGAGAAATTTCATGATACCTTTTACTGTAATTCCGAGAAATTTTTGTATAAGAATTTCATTGAATTTTAAGGTGGAATTCTATGGAATTTTATGGTGAAATTCGGAAAAGTATTATGAAATCTTATGGTAAAATCGAGGGTAAAATTTCTAGGACTTTTTTTTCTACTCAAATTTGTCATTTGAATGGAATTTCGAGGAATTTCATCAAATCTTCTAGTGAAATTTTATGGAATTAACAAAAATTTTCGCAAAATTCCCATGAAATAACTTGAAATTCTAGTGGAATGCTGAAGAATTTCATGAAATCTCATAAGTAGTGCAATTCCGAGGAATTTTTGTCCAAGAATTCCATTGAATTTTATGGTGGAATTCCATAGAATCATATGATGAAATTCGGAAAAGTATTATGAAATCCTATACCTAGTTAAATGTCTAGGAATTTCCGTTTTTCCATTCAAATTTGTCATTCGAATTTAGAATTTCTAAAAACTTTTCAAAAACCCCTAAAATGCTCCAGAATCACCTAGAATTTTGAAAATCTAAAATCTTCTGAACTCCTGTAAAATCGTGTAAAGATTTTCTAAATTCCCAAAATCCTACAATTAAGATTTAAAATATATGTTCATTTTTTTATAGAGTTAACTAAACATTGGAGCGGTTGATTGGTCAAAATCTGTGTACAAGTCCAGAAAAACTTGTACACAGTGTACTTAAAATTCCTGGAAATCTTTAAAAATTTAAGAAAACTTCACAAAATCTCTTTAAAATCACTTGAAATTGCATCAAATTTCACAAAATCACAAAAAATTTTATTAGAACAAAAAAAATCTGACAAAATCTTATAAAATCATTAATATAGGTATGTATTCCTAAAAGAAAGTTCCTTCCAAATTTCCAAATGTCTTTTGGAATCTTCAAAAATCCGTTAAAATTTCTAAAAATCCTTTAGGATCTCTAATGGCCTTTTCCACCAACTATTTTATGGAAGCTTCAACAATAAGTATTCCTTAAAATGACAGACTTCTATGGAGAAATGTCAGTTTAATCGTTAAGGCTCCCCTAAATTAGTTGGTAAAAACGCCATGAAAACCATTTTTAAATTCCCTAAAATGATTCAAAATCACCTAAAATCTAATAAATCTAAAATCTTTTAAAATCCTGTCGTAAGATCTCTAAAAACCCTTCTAACTTCCCTAAAATGCTTCAAAATCACCTAAAATCTTTTAAAATCCTGTAAAATCATGTGAAGATTTTCAAAATTTTCAAAATCTTACAAAATCAATGAAGATTTAAAATCTGTGTACATATTTTAAGGAGTTAACCACCCCTCCTACCTTAGTAGGTACTAAAATGATGAAATTTCAAAATTTTTTATTTTGAGATTTTGTATCTTAATGATCAATAGGGACCCCCCAAACTGCATACACTAAATTATTTTAAAATCTAAAGCTGAATCCCATGAAAAAAGGCACTCACAAAAATTGAAAAATCGATAATTTATCCCAAATTGCTTAACGCGATTTTATTTCTGAAACTGTAAATCCAAATCAGTTGAAATTTTCAGGGATTGTAAATCTCCACTAGGGTGAGAAACGCTCAAAATTTCAGCTAATGGCAAGTTAAATACTGCTCACACTCAACAAGGTTGTCACGTCCAAAAATAAAGAAAGTTGATGGAATTCAAAAGAAAAACGATTAAATAATAAATCATGAATAAAGAAGAGATTCTAAAATCATTTTTCGCAAAGTAAAAAATCACGAATATTATGTTTTAATCCTAATAACCCAAAAACTCTGAAATTGCCCACATTTGGTTTTGTACCATACCAGATATCTGATGGTGTTTTGACTAGTCCGGAAGATGTCCCTCTATTCATGATGTAATTAATTGTCAAAATTGCTTCTCCCCAGTATTCTTTTAGTATTCCAGATTCCAGCATTATTGCTCTAACCCTTTCTACTAAACTTCTATTTTTTCTCTCTGCCTGTTTACTAGATCTGACTGTGAACCTTGGAGTAAACTTTCATTTTTTGCCAAGCTACTTTAACTATTTTAAAATCCACCTTCTTTTGACCTGTTGCTGTAACCCCCTCTTGAACTGAAGCTTCTTGTATTGAAACTTCCTCTTGCAATAAATCCTCCTCCTACATTGTAATCTCCTCTTGCATTGTAACCTCTATTTTGAGAAACTCTTCGTATAAAACCTCTACTGTGATCATTGCTTCTTGGTGCATTGTAGGTACTGCCTAATCCACTGCAATTACTATTTTGTGGATAAAAACGCCTTTTGTGATTGGTTGAGCCACATCCATAACATTTTTTGTCACTATATTTCTGTGTCGCAAAGGCTGTTGGCAATCCACTACTATTTACAATAACATCCGCTTTTCACTTTCTGCCAAAAGTTTATTCTTTGCATCTTCATACTACTTAACATCAGTTGTATTTTCAACAATAGCACATACAGTCTCATAAGACTTTGGTAATGTTAATAAAAAACCACAACTTTCCTTCAAGTACTTTCTGTTGAAGGAGAATTAGATCGTCCTTGATGTATATTCTTTTGAATTATCTAGATTCTAATTAGATTTTCCAGTTTAATGTGAATTATTTTTAGGGCGGACATCGTAAAGGCGGCCACAAAAAAGGCGGACACCACGAAGACCACTACGGCAAAAAAGGAGAATCCGAAAAGGGCGGACATTATAAAGACGAAAAGGGTCATAATCAGAAAGGCGGACAAGACAAACATCATGAGCATGAATCGAAGCATGGCGAAAAAGAAGGGCATGCTACTGGGAAAAAATGGGCTTATAAAAAAGGAGATGGAGATGGTGGTCATGGTCATGGTGCTCATTCTCACCATACTTATGCAGTACAAAAACCACCTGCCGCAAATAAAGAATATAAAATTAAACCAATTTCCACTTTTGTACTTCCATTAGAAGAAGAATCTGAAGATAAAGAAGAAGATGAAATTAGCCAATCTTCTTCAGTGGTTGCAAAAAAGCATGAATTGAAGGATTTTAAGCCATCACCACATGATAATTTAGCATTGATTTCATTACCAAGTGATTCTCAAGACATTGTAACACAACTACCACAAGAAACATTAACAACCGTTTCAACAGTAGAACGGTATATAACGCAAAAGGAAGGACATAAGCATAAATCAAATAACGGCGAAAAAGAAGGGAAAAAGAGAGCTAATAAGAAAGAAGGTAAAGTATCACAATTATTGTAGATTTTTTTTAAATAAATTTCTTTGTTAGATGTTGGCCAAGATGATGCTTATTCTCATAATACTTATGCTGTACAAGAACCTCCTAGGCAAGAGGAGCCTGATGCTAAACCTACCCCAAATAAAATTGAACCAATTTCCACATTTGTGCTTCCATTAGAAGAAGAATCATATGATAATAATAAACCATCACAAGGTTTTGAAGATATCAAACAATCTCTATTGCAAAACAATAGCTCTGAAGGTGATTTGAGTGATCCTGAAGATGTAACGGAACTTCCTCAAGAAGCATTAACAACCCTTTCAACTCTAGAACGCTATATAAGACAAGAAATGCAAAAGCTTAAATTAGAACATCCAACAACTCAAAAACCAATAGAAAATAATAGCTCAGAGGACATTTTAACAACAATTAAATCAGTAAATCGTTATATAAGACAAGAAACGCCTGAAGAAACTAAAAAGGTTACCAAAAGACTTCGATTGAAAAAAAGGAAAATTTCAAATGGATGCGAAGCCAACTTGCAAAAAAGGGAAATATTATTCATTCCAGAAGGCAGCAGTGATAGTTTCGTTATTGTTGCAGCTGAAGATGATGCTTGATTAATTGTTTGTTATTTTTAGTTTATGAAGACTGCATTGTTATACCAAATTGATAAATATTATTGTTTAGAAAAAGCTTGTTTTATTTATATCACAATTTTTGAGGCCTCACAATACTATATGAACAAATCAATTTGTTATTGTCTAATCTAATTATCTACAATTTCATCAAATTGTAATGGTTTAGCTGTAGTTCCAGCTATTGTCAGATTTTCCATCATTTTTGAAACTTGTACTGGGGCAGGACTTGCTGGCAGTTGGTTTTGTTCGTTCCAATTTATTTCGTCAAAGTCAATCACAATTCTTCTATTTTTTGGTATCAGTTGCCTAAAAAGAATAATGTAAATCAATTTACAATTGGAAATATGTAGTATATTGTGTAACCATAAGTGCAAAGTGCAACTAGGCTCCAAATTTGAGGAGTGCTGCAGCACCATTTTTTTTTTTTTTGATAGAAAGGAAATGAGACGCGTAAGAAAAAGTTAGATTCACGAGGGTTTGTACTTACGTCATCATTTGCCTTTTTTTTTTGAAAAATAGGTTTTTTTATGTCTGAAATTTCAAACAAACATATAGTTCGTTGCACGGCACGAAGGTTTTTACTTACGTCATCGATGACGTCATAACTTAGAGAAAAAGTTAAGTCATAGATTAATTCATAGAGCACCTTCGGAATTATTGTTTTGTAATACATTTTTTAACTTAGAATAGAGCTTATTCAGTTATCCGAAAATATAATATAAATAAATTTCTCCTGGAGTGATTTTTCACTGGAAAATTTTGAAATTTTCCTCTAATGAGCTCCTCAATTTCCTCTTTCTCCTGTAAAAATTTCAAAATTTTCCCTTTGCCAGTTTTCCAGAAAAAAATTAAAATGTAAGAGGATGAATTTTCCTTAATTTTGCCTAAATAGGTAAGTCAATTTTCTTTGAATTTTTCCTGGAGTGATTTTTTACTGGAAAATTTCGAAATTTCCCTATAATGAGCTCCTGACTTTTCTCTTTCTCCTGGAAAATGTTCAAAATTTTCCCTTTGCCAGTTTTCCAAAAAAAAAATTAAATGTGAAAGGGTGAATTTTCCTTAATTTTGCTTAAATAACTCAATTTTCCAGAATTTTTTCTGAAGTCATTTTTCACTGGAAAGTTTTGAAATTTTCTTATATTGAGTTCCTCTTTCTTCTGGAAAAATTCCACAATTTTTGCTTTGCCAGTTTTCCAGAAAAAAATTGAAATGTGAAAGGATGAATTTGCTTAAAAAAGTCAATTTTCCAGAACCTTCTTCTCGACTTTTCTTGGAGTGATTTTTCACTAGAAAATTTTGAAATTTTCCTATAATGAGCTCCTCATTTTCTTCTTTCTCCAGGAAAAATTTCACAAGTTTTGCTTTATTAGTTTTCCAAAAATAAATTTAAATGTGAGAGGATGAGTTTTTTTTATTTTTACTTGAAAAAGTCATTTTTTTTCAGAATTTTTCCTGGAGCGATTTCCCATTGGAAAATTTTAAAATTTTCTTATAATGAGCTCCTGACTTTCCTCTTTCGCCAGTTTTTGAGAAAAAAATGGAAATGTGAGAGGATGAATTTTCCTTAATTTTACTTGAAAAAGTCAATTTTCCAGAATTTTCCCTGGAGTGATTTCCCACTGGAAAATTTCGAAATTTCCCTTTAATGAGATCCTTACTTTCCTCTTTTTCTTGGAAAATTTTCAAAATTTTCCCTCTGCCAGTTTTCCAGAAAAAAATTGTGATGTGGGACGATGAATTTTCCGAGGGGGTAACAACTGGTGGCAATACATGTACAGATTGTATAGCATTACAACGCATTACTTAAGCATTACGACGCATTACTGGAATTACGCTGGAATTACAGGCATTATGGTGGCATTACTTGGTATTACCAGGAATTACGCTGACATTACAAGGCATTACCTCCGAATATGGCTTGCATTTAATGGAATTATGGTTGATCTAGGGGTTGATTTTTAGGCTTTTAATGTACATGCAATAATTGTATGTATCTAATGAGGTACTAATCGAGCATGTGTATTATTTTACTAACCCAAACTTACCTCAATATATAAAATAATTTTGGGAAAGTTTGTGTATCTATAAAATTAAAATTATTTTCACATACAGGGTGAATTAAAAAAAAAAAAGTTACAGTAAAATATGTATTTGTTTAAAACGGGACACTCTATATATTATTATCATTTTTGGATTCTACTCAACATGCTTTATCTAAATTGGACTATTTTTAAGCAAGAAACAATTGAAAATTATAAGCTTTGTTCGGATTCGGAAAAAGGACGGTTTCTAGAATGGTTCGAAACAATTGCACAGTTTGTTATTGAAATTTGTAATAGCCGAGCCTTTGTCATTTTGTTGATTGATAGACTGGGCGATTGTTCAGAACCGTCCTTTTTTTGAACCCAAACAAAGCTATGATCTAGAAATTTCATATAGCCTAGCCCTAAGGCCTAGCCTCACATCAATGACGTACGTAAAATTATTCATAATTTAACAAATATTTGACACCAAAATCATATAATAGTACAAGAGCTAATATGATGCTGCCCCAGTTACTTTTGGTGACGATGGTACAATCTGTAGACAAGGCTAAACATTTTTATGGACCAATAAAATCATTGGATCAGAACCATTTCAACTCTTGAGGCAGGATAAATCGAGGGATAAATTAACCATTGGTAAAACTTTACCAAAATGGAAAACAATATGTATTTGACAAGTTGAAACGGTTTTTGTAAAATAGATCATGAGAAAAATTTAGCATTTTATTCAGATTTAGGACCGGTTTATTTACCTTCTGATAAACTGTCAGGTAGGCAATCTGAAAAACGTGGTCTGTAATTCCATTGTTCAGCCAGTTATCGGCTGACCAATAGAATTATAGAACGGTGAATTTATCTTGCAGATAGTTACCAGCAAGTTTATCTGAAGATGAATAACCAGAGGCTTAGAAAAATAACTAAGTATCTATAGAATAATAATAAATATGTACAAATTATAGGATGTGATGTTGGTTTTCAACAATGTATAATGGTTTGTTTTTCTGGTCGGTCTATGTAAAACTGTAAAACTATTTCATATAGCCTAGGTATACATAATTATATTGGCATTACATAAAATTACATGGCATTATGATGTAATTACTGGCATAACTTGGAATTACTGGAATTACTCATGTAATGCGCAATACATGTACAGATTTTGGTCCAGTTGTTACCCCCTCGGAATTTTCCTTAATTTTACTTGAAAAAGTCAATCTTCCAGAATTTTCCCTTGAGTGATTGCTCACTGGAAAATTTCGAAATTTTCCTATAATGGGCTCCTCATTTTCCTATTTTTCCTGGAAACTTTTCAAAGTTTCCCCTCTGCCAGTTTTCCAGAAAAAAAATAAAATCTAAGAGGCGAATTTTCCTTAATTTTGCTTAAATAAGTCAATTTTTCAGAATTTTTTATGGAGTGATTTTTTATTGGAAAATTTTAAAATTTTGCTATAATGAGCTCTTTAAGTTCTTTCCTCTTTTTTCTGGAAAATTTACACATTTTCCTTTTGCCACTTTCACAGAAAAAAATTAAAATGTAAGAGGGTGAATTTTGCCTAAAAAAGTCAATTTCCCAGAATTTTTCCTAGAGTCATTTTATACTGGAAGATTTTGAAATTTTCCTATAATGAGCTCCTCACTTTCCTCTTTCTTCTAGAAAAATTTCACAATTTTCCCTTTACCAGATTTGTAGAAAAAAATTAAAATGTAAGAGGGTGAATTGTCCTTAATTTTCTTTAAAAAAGTTAGTTTTTCAAAATTTTTCCTGAAGTGATTTTTCACTGGAAAATTTTGAAATTTTCGTAAAATGAGCTCCTCATTTTCTTTTTATTCCTGAAAATTTTTCAAAGTTTTCCCTTTGTCAGTTTTCAAGAAAAAAATTAAAATGTAAGAAGGTGAATTTTCCTTAATTTTGCTTAAATAAGTCAATTTTCCAGAATTTTTTATGGAGTGATTTTTCACATTGGAAAATTTTAAAACTTTGCTATAATGAGCTCTTTACTATCCTCTTTTTTCTGGAAAAATTTTCAAAATTTTCCTTTTGCAAGTTTTCCAGAAAAAAATTAAAATGTAAGAGGGTGAATTTTTTTTAATTTTGCTTATGTAAATTAAGTCAATTTTTTTGAACATATTTGAGATTTCAGTCATAAAAAAAACAAAGAATCACCTTTTGCCGTTTGTACATGATATACCCTGTATAATATGCAGTTAATTAATTTATATATTTGGGACTCCAATGATTTTTTAAAGGCCGGTATTTCAATGCCACCTTAAGATATAGAATAAACATAGACATTAACAACATTGTCTGACCTTGTTCGATGACGTCATCCTAAATATAACATAAAAACCGTATATTTAAGGGTAAGTCTTGATTTTAAGGTAATATTGTAATACCGACCCCGGTTGAAAAAGTTTATTCCATAACAATAATAATTGCGAAAGTGTTCTATGAATTAATCAATGACAAATACTTTTTACTAAATTATGACGTCATCGATGACGTAAATAAGTACAAAAAGTGCAAAAAAAAAATAATTGTTGCACTAATTTTTTATATTAGTGTTAGGGTTAGGTAGTGCCACTCCCGGTGCCACTGTAGGTAGTGCTAAGGTGGGATGCCGAATGGGAGTGCTAATTTTTGCTTTAGGGGTGCCGAATGGGAGTGCTAATTTTTGCTTTAGGGGTGCTCAGCACCCCCAAGCACTCCCCTATTTGCGCCTATGTGTGTAAAAGTGTTGAACCAATTTGGAACATTTTTTACCCTTTTAAGATGCTGTAGAGTACTTAAGAACAAATTCAGAACTTTGATAAGCTGCAGAAGACTTTCAATTTATTTTTAAATCTTCTTGTTTGAGACAAATTGGAACTTTTGAGAACAGTGCAAAAAACTACAGAACACTTTAGAATTTCAGAAGCACTCTAGAACAGACCAGGGGGCGGATTACGAACTCTCGATTCGAACCGAAACCGCCATGGATTTCGAACGCATTCTGATGCATTCGCATGGAGTGCGTTCGAAATCCATGGCGGTTTCGGTTCGAATTGAGAGTTCGTAATCCGCCCCCAGAACACTTTTGAACTTTCAGCAACATTTTAGAAACCTTGAGACATTTTAGAAGTTTTGGAGTGCTCTAGAATACTCTAAAAATCATACAGAACTTTTTGGAACATTTTTAAGTAATTTGAGATGCTCTAGAATACCTTACACTTTGATAAGCTTTAGAAGATGTGCACACTTCAAGAGTGTTAAGCAATCAACTGAAGACTTTACAAAGTAGGAACTTTTAAAGGTTCAGAAGGAGGTCCTGCCAATTTGGAACATTTTTAAGCATTTAGAGGCGCTATAAAACATTTTAGAATGAATTTGAAACTTTGACAAGCTTCAGAAGACTTTCAATCCTCCTGCATTTTATTGAGACAAATAGAAACTTTCAGGAACATTGTAAAATGCTACAGAACACTTTTCTTCCATGGAAATATACATCAAAAATCCCTCCAAAAACCAAAAGTAAAGAAAATTGTTTGCCAATTCTGGTTTTCAATAGCTGAAAAAATTACTTACCAATAAGTGACCCGAGCAGCATCCAGCATCCTCTTCGAAGCAATAGTTGAGATCTTTTTAGAGTGTTTGTCCGACATGTATATTACTTCCTTTATGCCTGATTGTATTATTACTTTTGCACATTCATTACAGGGAAATAGTCCTACATAGAGGGAACAATTTCTAACATTGGCTGAATTTTTGTTCAATATCGCATTAAGTTCTGCATGACAGACTAAAATAGATACAATAATGAATACCTTAGAGAAAAATCTCTTAGGAAAAATTACCATATAAATATTTGTTTTCCAATTCGTTCTTGGATTCCTTGCTCCAAGGAAACTCCTCATCGTGACAACCTTTGGGCATCCCATTATATCCAGTACCCACAATAACGTTGTGCTCGTTGACTATACAAGCTCCCACTTGAGAACAAGGATCTTTACTTCTTTTCGCAGCCAAAAATGCTGTAGCCATAAAATATTCTGGCCATTCCAAGTAACCTTCACGTTTTTTGTTGATATCTCTAGAAATATTGAATGACAGTGAATTTGGAGTGAGGAAAATTAATAAAAGGGTACCTTACCGTGTATTTGTTGCAGTTTCCATAATAATTACTAATTGAAAATTAAAAAAATTAACTGAAATTCAAGCCTCTAAAAAAAAAACAAATTACCCCCTCCATTGATTGCTGTCACCGGCACGTGTTACTTTGACACTTGTCATTGATTTTGATGCGGTGTTGCCAAATTTGTATACACTAAAACAATGTTTTTTTAAATTATTCTCCAAGACTTCAAAATAATTCTTTTATATTATTATCCTTTTTATTATAGTATAGTATAATATAACACAAACTAGCCAACACACGCTTGAAATTTAATTAATTTCCTCCCTTTTTTTTGACACGTCAAATTTTCGATTTGGCAACGTGGCAATCCAGTCAGCTGTTTACTCGCTGTCAAATAATAGTAAACACATCCCTTTTGGGCTGCGCCGGAAAATCTGAAAGAAAAAGCCCCCCTATAAGAAAATCAGCGTTTCCCACAGCTACTCTACTGTCATTTTCCGACCCAACATGGCAGAAAGTGTATCGCGGTCCGTTCCTTTGATTATTGTTTGGTGTTTAGTGTAAATGCAGTGTTTTTAAGTGTTTAAAATCGCGTCGTGGAGCTAATTTTCGGCATGGCTGACCTAACTAAGCCGCCTCTCAGTGACATTAAGCACCCCGAGGAGGTGGTGAGAATGGCCATGAAGGATAATCTCAAATTTGCGGTGCTTATTGGACTTATCGAAGTCGGACAAGTTTCCAACAAGGAAGTGGTCAACACTGTTTTGCAATTGGTAAGTGCCTACATGTTTTGCTTGTGTGTGAATAACCCAATAAAGTCTTAACATAACAGGGCCCCTTAAGGGTTACAATATTAATTTTTCTAGAAAAATTCATTACTACATCATTCAAAACCTATTTTTATATTGGGCCTCCTTGAATCTGAAACATGGGAGGGGCTCATAAAACTCTACAACTGGGACAAGGATTTTTCTTCATCCCTTTTGAAATTCCCAAGGAAAAATAATTATAGGTGCATAAAATAAGGCCAGGAATATTTATATTATGAGCACTTAAGTATTACTTTGTTCCTGTTACTGATAATCCTAATCTCCAATAAAATGGTGTAAACAACTAGCTGGGTATTGTGTTTATACTAGAATACCAATCTGGTGGGGCCTTCTTGTTTATTTTGCATTGTACATGTATAAACAATATCCAAATATCTATAAAGGAAGAATGTAACAGAGTCTGAGGTACTTATCCTAGAAGAAACGTTTATCTGAAAGTTTGTTAGACTTGGCACCATCGCAAAATTCACTAGGTTTTTTAAAGGCTTTCACATTTATCAAAAAACATATTTGTCATTCTTATAACAGATGTTATAGGGTATACTTTTTTTCCAGACAAAAAACGGCTATTTTTGAAAACAGGGAATATGATGTCAGAGTCCCCAAAATTAATAAAAAATGCAAGCATGCCAAATGTCTGATTGGTATTAGTCTCGGTATTAGTACACCATTCCAAAACATGACTGTGTCAAATCACTCTAATCAAAGTACCTATTGTACTAGGAAACTGAAACATGGCAACCTTGTTTCCTCTTCATGTTGCCAAATTTTTCTTGAAATTTGTGTCTTTAGAAGGCATTAGCAATAAATAATAATATGCTAATTTTCACAAGCACTGAAAAAATCTTAAAAATAAAAAAGGTAAAGGCTGCAAGTGGAGTGTCAGACTATAACCAGACACTCTGTACTACATAAATTTTCAAGGTACCTACCTATGTTCAATTTGTACTACTTAAGTAATAGGAAAAAATGTGGCATCCATGCTTACAGTATGTTATATGGAAATTTCCTCGGAAAGGACCCCGCACACCTCTTATGGGTTTTTGGTTTTCTGTCAAACTCAATGAAATTTTGATATGTGGTATATCTTGACTTACTGATAAAAAGTTCTCATGGGCCCAATCCGATACTATGAATAGTTTCCGAAATACAGGTGGTTTAATATCCAAGAAATGTACACATTTTATATGCATTCACATCTACCTGTCACCTATTAATAGGTCAGTCAGAGAGAATTTCATTGGTTGAAACTAGTTTTCTGACTGTTTTCGACCAATCAAATTCGCTGTGACGGGTTTGTGATTTTTGCAGAAACAGACCTAATATTAGGTGACAGGTAGATATGAGTACATATAAAATGTGTACATTTCTTGGACATTAAAGTACCTGTATCTCAAAAACTAATAATAGGATTGGTTCGGGCCCATGAGAATCAGGAAGTCAAGGTCTATCACATATCAAAATTTCATTGAGTTCGACAGAAAACCAAAAACCCATAAGAGGTGTGCGGGGTCCTTTCGCATTTCTGATGTTTTATTTATCAATAATCTGACTGAAATCTTGCAAAATATTGTTCATTCTCAATTGTAAAATTATGCAAAAATATCATAATTTGCTGGCACTTGGAAGTGACCTATTGAACAAAATTTATCACTTTGTGTACTGGCCATTTTACTCACCAGATCTTATGCCATTGAACATTTTGAGAAAATGCAGGGCTGGCATAATTTGAATCGCTTCGCAGCAATTTACTCCTGAAATTTTTGATTCAGAATTTTTACTCAATAATTTAAAAACTCACTGATTTCCAGGTCAGCACATTTTTACAGTTTTTTTCATGCAATTCAATTGCCAAATTAACTTTTCCATATGGAAAAGACCGAGGAAAAGACTTTAGTTTCGAGTTTAATTCATTATTCCTGAAAGTTTCTAATCACTGTGATCATTGGAAGTATTTTGCACAAGTGATTTTTGCAGATTTTAATCATTTTTGCTTCTAAATTTAGTTTGGTGAAGGAAAAACTTCAATTTATAACCAATGGAAGTTTTAAGTCACTGTGATCATTGGAAGTACTTTGCCCAATTGATTTTTACTGATTTTAATAATTTTTACATGCATTAACCTGAGAAAAACTTCTAAATTTAGTTATAAACTTCAAATCAACTCTAAATCAACTTTTTCACAAAGAGGAAACTTCAATTTATAAATGAATCCTATGCTGGAACAACATTGTAAACGACAATGTGTAAAAACGGTATATCCATGGAACTATGTTGTATGTACCCTGGATAATTCGCCAAGTAAATAGTGGGGTCATAGGATATATATATTTTTTTTGATGAGTTGTTGATGCCATTTTAAAAGGCCCAGTATGTCCTTTTTGTGGAACAACATTTTAAGTCCAACCTCGCCCTAGTTTCGCGCTTGTTTGGTATATTTGGCGTTTGAAACGTTGTTCCAGCATAGGGTTCAAATCTTGAATGTTTCAAGTCACTGTGAAGATTAAAAGTACTGTGCACAAGGGATAAACCACTACTTAGTGGAAATCATTTTACATTTTTTTGGGAATCACATAGTAATCAATCAGGAGTACATGGAAATCACTTGGGAGTTCTTGGGAATAACCTCGAAATCGCTAGGAATCTCCTAGGACTCCATGGGAATCACATAGAAATCCATTAGAAATCACTTAGAATCATGTGGAAATTGCTGGGAATATCATCTAATTCTATATTTTATGTATATCAATGTTATTTTGAAATAATCAAATTTTCAAAAAATTATATTGAGGATCCGCAGCTTAGAAACTATTTAAGCTGCATTGAAATGATTTATTAGACACTTATTAACAAAACTATGAGCCAAAATGTGTATCAATGACATTTTGGAAAAAAACTAATTTCCAAAAAATGACATTGAAGCATGTTTTATTTTATTTTTTGAGAAAAATGTTTCAAGGATTGAATTGAAATTTTGCAAGTGGGTGGAGAAAAGATTGAAATTAAAAAAAAAAAATGTAAAAATTTCCTCCTGTTCCAAGGGGTAAACCACCACTTCAGAATTTGAAGTTGATTCGAAGCTCCAAACTAAATTTAGAAGCAAAAATGATTAAAATCTGTGAAAATCAGTTGTGCAAAATACCTACTACCAATGACAGTAAAAGCGGCCTTTTAATGACACTTGACAGGATCAAAAGTTGTACTTTTACTGCTTAGGCATTAAAAGTGACAATGTCACAACGTTCCAGGTAATAATTTCACTCAATTTGGGTATTTGAACTTGATGGTGACAATGACAATTGTCAAAATAATTTAATTATTTGGATAATCTGGCCTATGATGTATCATTTATTTTAACAGCAACGTTAAGTTATCTGTCACTGTTTAGTCTATACGTCAAAATAGAAACAGCAATAGATGTTGAGCCATAACACAGCCGTTAAAATAACAGGACTGGATACATCATAAGCCTGAATAATAATGAACGGTTAACTTTTAACAGCCATGTATTTAATATTTGCAACAGAGCAATGAAAATGTTTGGTTTTATGGTTAGGCATACTCGCGATTTCTCCGATCCAGTTTGTATAAAGCATTTATATGTAAGTCTTATACGGAGTCTGCTAGAATATGCAAGTGTTGTCTGGTGCCCGAACTACCAATGCTACAAATATTTATTGGAAAAAATTCCAAATAAGGTTTTGAGATACATTGACTTTAAGGAAACAAAAATCTATGATCCCAGGGAATCTGCAACTACTTTACGTGGAAATTACAATCTGCCAAGTTTAGAAAAGTGGAGGGGTATGCATGCGATTATGTATTTATTTAAGGTAGTACATAGTATTATTGATGATTCCAATTTTTTCAGTAAATTTAATTTCAACGTACCAGCTCATAATACTAGGCAGTTAAATACATTTTATATCAGTACAATCACTCTTACCAATTCGCATAAGAATTCACCAGTTTTTAGATTGTGTGATAGTTACAACCAGATACAATCTGAAGTTGATATTTTTGGGGTCTCCCTGGGCTCAGTGAAACAATCACTTTTGTCAATAATGTAGCACTTAATTTAAGTATTAGTTATAGATTAGAGTAGATAACTTTGGGTTTTGTTAGTACATAACTTTGAGTTTTGTTAGTTTAACTTTAGTTTAAGTTAGCTTAAATCATTGTACTTTGTAATTGGGTGCGTCAGCAACCTATTAAGTGTTTGAAATAAATAAATAAATAAATACATAAATGAAATAAATATAAAAAAGATGTCCATGTGTGAATTTGAACATTCGGAGAAAAAATTATATGTTTTACATGGCAGAAAAGCAGATTTAATGCCTCAGCTATGAAACATCAGCCGCGGCATTAAATCTTGTACTTTTCTGCCTAGTAAAACAAATGACTATTTCATATGGAAAAGTTACTTTGAAGTTCCAAAATTTTCCCAAAAATAGGTAATATCCGAGTTAATATTTTGGGTAATATTATTGATTTCTTTTTATAAATATCCTGACATTATACTCTTTGTTTATCCTTGAGACGGCCTCACTGATTTATAAGAACAGACTGAGCATCCAATTTCAGGGTGTAACTACGCCTTATAACACTCGGCATTCAGCTGATCTGCCTCTGCCGATTCCAACAAAAGAACTGACCAAAAGGCCACTTATTTATAATGGCAGAAAAATTTTCAACCATCTGCCAATTCACATTAAGACTGCCAACAGTGTAAGGTGCTTTAGACAGTTGCTTAAGGGCATTCTATTAACTAAGGCATATTATACCCTGGAAGAGTTTTTTACAGACAACTTTATGTGAGATATGAGGCTTTTTTTTATCATTATGTTATTTGCATAAGTATTTTTTATTTTTATTTTTTTTGTGTTTTGTATTTTTATAGTACTTGTTCTTTCACCTTTTTAGTTTTAATGATGTCACATTTTATCCTTTTGGTTTTTATGTTTAGTAACAAATTTTTTGTTTTATAATTTTATTGTAATTTAGGAAATTTATAATATCATGATTTGTCAACAGACATTTGATTTTCTTGGACAATAAAGTATTTTTTGATTTGATTTGATTGTGCATGAACAATTCCTCATTCCTCCTCTCAATTCCCCACAAATTCCTCCAGGGCTGAAACTCTGTATGGTACTTGCTGTCTTCTTCTTTCTTGTCGAAATCAATAGAGAGGAGACATCAATAGAGATAGAGAAAATATCTCTAATCGTTACAGAGTTGCAGCCCAAATACCCCACCATAAATTCGTTCAAATACCACACCATAAATTCCTCCAAATACTTACCCCACAAACTCCCCCAAATTCCCTGCATATTCCTCCAAATTTTTGGCAAATTTCTCGAAACTCTTCACAAATTCGCCGCAAATGCCTCTTTCAAATTATTTTTTAAAATTTTTATTTCGCTCAGTGTTAAAACACAAGAGCAGTTTATCAAAATTTCCAGAATGCAGAATGCAGGAGTTTAAACTAACCCAAACCTGCATTTGATATCATTACCTAATTGATAAAAAAAACCTTAAAAAAAACCTATTTAGGAAATTAACAAATAAAATACCATATACCAAGAACACAATATGTAGCTATTTTTTTAAAAACAACCTAGGTACCTCGCTAGGTACTCACAGTTTAGAATTCGAAAAAGTTGATTTGTAGCCTATACATTTAAAAAAAGGTGCTATACTTCTAACAGGGTTTCCTAAGTTTCCTTGCGACACAACTTCCATACGAAATTCCGGTAAACAGTTTATATCCAAGAGCGCGGTCTGGAAGGCAGAGACCTTAAAAGCTCCTCTAGAACCTTCTAACTAAACTAATTTTCTTGAGTGGAGAGCATTTCGTGGAGTTTCTGTAGGCCAACTTAATTAGGACGATGCATACGGATATATTATTAGAAAATATTGGTTTAAATGTCTATGAGAAAAATTAAACAGAACATAAAGTTTAACAGGTTTAGACAGATTAAAGTAAATCTGCACGTTTATGCCAGTCGAACCAGAATAATCTAATTGGAAAACTTCATTGAATAGAATAAGCTTTTTCTACAACGCTACTAACCAATTCTTGAATATATGCGCAATATTTTTACCTGATACCTAATCAATTTTGTCTATAAATAGTGTGTCTATAATTAGCAATATCTGTGCCTTTGCAACAAACAATAACACAGTGATTACCAATTATTATTACCTAGTAAAACTAAAATTCAATTACGTTTTCTGTATCGTCGTTAGAGGCCTCGTAAATTCGAAATTATGCATTGTGTTCGATTATTAATTGCACTTTTGCTTGCATCATAAAGCCAATAACGATTTTATTTGTATGCAAATTTGATTAGTTCTAAGGCGTTAAATACGTAAATTTATATGGCTGGTAACATGCTGAATGGGATTTAGAATATAATGGCCGTGAAGGAAACTACAAAAATAATACCTAATACATTTATTACATCAAAGGGACTAGACAACAAGGGACAAACAAACACCAAATAGGCGTGATTTGTGAGAAGCCATAATATAGCAGTTTTGTTGCCCAATACAAAGCACAAGAAAGCTGAAAAAAAAAATAAAAAAAAATATTAATAAAAGAAAACATTATGGAAGTTGCTACATAATGGAGTACAATGATGTAAAACGTATGTGGTAATAATTAACTCTGCAGCTAAGTTCAACGTTCCACTCACTTGAAACTTTTAAGCTTGGAAGCAAAAAATTATGCAAGCGCACATATGCCAAGGCAACTAACTGTAACTCAGCTATAGTGTACGCTAAATTCCCTATGTCTATAACACTAAAACAGCTTTTATGCCCCTGCTGGTGGAGAATTAAAAGTACACAGAGATAACTCATGAATTTATGGTGGAATTTAGCAACGTTTAATGTTTATTTAAGCCAGACTACAAGAGCTTTTGACCTATAATGTAATGTTCGAGAAAATAGCAATCCCTCCCTATTTGCATTTTTCACATCCTAAATAACAAGAGCGTCATTAGGTGCGATGTTCATTAAAACGGAGATGCCAACTTATTGGATTTTGCATAATGCAAAAGGTCATCAACTTTGTGAAGAGAAGGAGAGAGAGCTACCTGGACAAAGCGATTTTGCCAGCAGCATATTTGAGCTTTATTTTCCTAGAAGTGAAATTGATTGCATGCGCTCAGAAGTTTGCTAGCGGGGCGTATTAAATATTTATCTCCATTTATGCCTTGTTTTGTTATTTACTAAGTAATTTTCCATCGATAGGTATTTAGAGCTCGTTTATGGAATCGTGAAATTTAAAACTCCTCTTATATAAGGGGCATTCTTTTTATGAACCATTTACTAAATTTGATAGTATTTTTATACTCTCTTTTTTATTGCCGCATAGGTTGCTTAAATTCTATTTTGTCTCAACGGAAAAGGTGTATTTACTACATAAAGAAAACCCTTGAGCTTTCAAGGGTAAAACTATTTATCACATACTTTCCAAGATTATTTCATAAGAATTTTAGGATTTTGTGAGGGTCACACTGGAAAAAAAAAAACCACAAAAACCCAATTTATGAATCCTAAATTGCTATGAAAGGTCAATTGGTGAATAATTTATTATCGATCACTCCAAAAAAATTACAACAAAAATATGATTTTTCAATGACTGCAATAGACTTTCAGATCTTAGAGATGGCTCCTTTTTCAAATAAAACATATCCATTTACAAAAATTACTCTTAAAAATTATCAAACAACTATAGGTATATTTTATCAACTAATGGAAAAAGATAAAAGACCCCAGCCAGATTGATAATAATCACTCCATTTATCATTATTTACACCTTATTTTTAGCATCAGCATATAGATAAAGTTATTACGTATTTTGTTAAATAAATTATAGCTATAATAGAAATTTATTCACAAGCAACTAACTATCTTTGTTAAAAGCAGACAATAAAAATGAAATTTTCAATTATTATGAAATTTATTCTAAAGGATAAAAATAGAGTTTTGGCGTCGAGGATATTGTTGAAAATTTAATAAAGTTGATAATTTATAAAAAACAATTGTAAATATTGATTAGGCAGGTAATAAAGCTAGTTAACAATGAAGCATTAAGTATCAATTAAATAATAAAGTGAAGCAATAAAAATGATAATTAAATTGAATCATGAATTTTAATATATACTTAATGCCAGGGCCGGCTTAAGGGGGGCGCGAAGTGGGCGGCACGATCCAGGGGCGGCAAATTCATACCATACATCAAAAAAAATTGATAGTGAATAAAACCAACGACAATTAGGAACTATAAATCGAACATTGGACTAATTATATTATTATAGAATAGGTGTCAACATATTGAACAATTAAAAGAGAACATAGTGGGCATTTTAACTTCTTATATAATATCCATTTACTACGAAAATATTTTAAATATTATCCTAATAATTTTATTGAAAATGTAGGAACCTACTTACCCTAATAGCATAGTACGTTGGCCATTTTTTCAAAGTCAGTTTAACGTCAAAATGTCGGAAACTACTGTAGGAACGTAGGACGTTTTTGAAACCAACTACAGCAAACGTTTTAAGAGTGTTTTTTAAGTAGGTAATGTCCATTTCCTCACTTTCAGAGTGTTTTTCAAGAAGCTGTAAAAAAGATGTTCTTTAGGCGTATTATTTGGGATATTTTTAAAACCTCATGTCTATTTTCGACGTCTATGACGTTTGAAGTTGTAACATTTATTCTAAACATAAATGTCTTTTGGACGTTCTCAGTCACTTTAACTGACGTTTTAAGAATGTTCTGACGTCCAATCGGATACGTTTTTGAAACGTTTCTGTGCTATTAGGGTATCTATACAGGGTCACACGAGGTTTTACCCAGGTGATAATTCCGGAACGCGTCATCGAATATTCCACTGTGTAATTTATTATCATTTTCTTTAACAAAGCCTTAGCAAATATGGCATTGCCGATTTGGTAATTTAATTTCGAAAAATGCCATAATATACCATAAATAAGTTACATTTAGGATTCTAAAGTTGCCGTCACTTCAAACTGAAGCGAAAGTGATGAAAGGGGTGAAATTGGATGACACATGTAGAAGCGGCACAAAAAGTTAACCAGATTTTCAGAATTTCAATTATATCGCATGACGCGTTCCAAAGTTATCACTTGGGTAAAACGTCGTGGGACACTGTGTATACCTTCCTTTATACCTACATAATGTATTTTTGTTGATTGTTGCCAAGGGTTTGTATTGGATTACTTTCACTTCGTTTTTCACGTTAAATACTTGTTTTCTCATGTTAGTTTTTTTTTTAGATTAGGTACCATCGTCACCAAAAGTAACTGGGACACAAATAATGCATAATAATCTCTTGGACTAGTTCTGATGCTGTCCCAGTTACTTTTGGTGACGATGGTACCTAACACATGATAAAGTATGTGGTTCTATTGATATGAAGCTATGACTTATTCTTTAGTGTTGATATTATGTTGTTTCTACAATTAAAGATAATCCTCATTTTCACATTTTCCTTCAGCGGTTCATGGGCTGGGGCGGCAAAGCCGGCAAATTTGCACATTGCCCAGGGCGGCAAAATACCTAGAGCCGGCCCTGCTTAATGCAACAATTGTCCTTTATTGTTCATTTTTTGCTCTAAACACTCAGAATTGTAAGTTACAACACATGTGAGAAATGCAGCATTTTCAGGTCTATAAACCTAGCAGTTCCAAGGTGGAAAAAACTTCGGGAACTATATAACAATTAGGTGCTTTTTAGGTGCTAATTAGGGCCTCTAATTAAAAATTAGGTGCTCCTTTAATTTTTGAGAAAATCAAAAAAAACTAAGGGACTGCTAGGTTTATAAAAACTAGCAGTCCCTTATAGTAAAAAAATATTTTTTTTAAATTTTTTCTTTGTATCAGAATTAGGTGCTTTTTAGGTGCTCCTAAATAGTCCAAGAAAAAATAGAATTGATTAATTATTGACTGAGTTGCAGATTTTTTTTTTATTATTAGGGGACTGCTGACTTTACGTTTACATGTTGGTATGTCAGAATGGCGAAAAAACTTCGAGATCTATATATAGGTGCTTTTTAGGTGCTAATTAGGGCCTCTAATTAAAAATTAGGTGCTCCTCTTGTTTTTGAGAAAATCAAAAAAAACTAAGGGATTGCTAGATTTATGAAAGCTAGTAGTCCCCTATAGTGAAAAATATGTTTTTTAAATTTTCTATTGTATCACAATTAGGTGCTTTTTAGGTGCTCCTAAATAGTCGAAGAAAAAATAGAATTGATTAATTATTAACTGAGTTACAGATTTTTTTTTAATTATTAGGGGACTGCTGGCTTTACGTTTACTTGTTGGTGTGTCAGAATGGCAAAAAAACTTCGGGATCTATATAATAATTAGGTGCTTTTTAGGTGCTAATTAGGGCCTCTAATTAAAAATTAGGTGCTCCTCTGAGAAAATCAAAAAAAAACTAAGGGATTGCTAAGTTTATGAATGCTAGCAGCCCCTATAGTAAAAAAAAATTAGCACCTGAAAAGCACCAAATTATTATATAGATCCCGAAGTTTTTTTGCCATTCTGACACACCAACAAGTAAACGTAAAGCCAGCAGTCCCCTAATAATTAAAAAAAAATCTGTAACTCAGTTAATAATTAATCAATTCTATTTTTTCTTCGACTATTTAGGAGCACCTAAAAAGCACCTAATTATGATACAAAAGAAAATTTTGGAAAAATATTTTTCACTATAGGGGCAGTGTTGCCAATCTGATTTTTTGAAATTACACGATATGCTCGTCAAATTACACGTTTTTACACGCTTTCAGTCTCACAATTACACGATTTTTACACACGACTTTGGTACCTATTTTGCAAAATCAAGAAGCAAGTATAATTTTTTTCGTGAATAATGATTTTGGGAAATGGGTCAAATCTGAGGGTTAATGCTCCTGATCATAGCTTATAGCTTCTTAACCAAAAATAAAGATGTGGCAACGACAGAAACGCGATCCCAAAGTTATCAAATTACTAATTATTTTACTTTGGTTTTTGGTTTCTGGAGAACTGGATACTTTTGGACCTCAGTTTCCTGCAAGGATAATACACACTACTACTACAGGATAGCCTATCCTCATAAGGCCTGTGTAATTCAAATCTCGAGCTCCTACCATAGCAAAACACCAGTGATGACGTAGGCATCGTGTCGTTTCTCGTCTTGACGAGGTTCCCAAGGTTTTCTGGTAATGGGTAACTTGTTGACGAATCTGGGGTGCCTAATGGACATTTGCATTATGTTAGGGCACCCCAGATGACGTCATAGAGTTATCCAGGCAACCCATTTCCATAAACGAGGCCGATAAGCAATCCTAAGTAGTGTGTATTGATCTTTAGTTTCCTGAAATCTTGAGCCGTTTTCTCGCGTCCACTTTTTTGACATTGGTTCAAACCTGTATTGAAAAAAGTGGATGCGAGAAAACGACTTTGGTTTTGAGCCTAGACATAAGGCTAGTCACTTGACAGATCATTTTACAAACAAAAAATAATGGTGGGGAATGCAAGGAGCCATTGGAAGAGGAAACGTCAAGTCCTATCTATGTCACAATGGGGCGGTGGCTTTAGATTTGAAAGCCGTGGAACAGAACAAAAATAAAGAGAATGTCAAAAGGAGCACCTAAAAAACACCTAATTCTGATACAAAGAAGAAATTTGAAAAAAATATTTTTCACTATAGGGGAGTACTAGCTTTCATAAACCTAGCAATCCCTTAGTTTTTTTTGATTTTCTCAAAAACTAGATGAGCACCTAATTTTTGATTAGAGGCCCTAATTAGCACCTAAAAAGCACCTAATTATTATATAGTTCTCGAAGTTTTTTTTCACCTTGGGACTGCTAGGTTTATAGACCCCACCTTCTTACTAAATGGATGAAATTTCAATTTTTTTTTTGTTGAGATTTTGTATCCCAATGGTCATTTGGTATCCCCCAAACTCCATACACTCCATTATTCTCAGATTTGAAGCCGAAATCTATGAAAAAAAGGCACTCAGAAAAATTTCAAAATTGATAAATCACCCCAAATTGCTTAACACGATTTTATTTCAGGAATAAGTCCAAATGAGTTGAAATTTTCAGAGATTGTAGTCCTCTACTCGGATAAGAATCCCTGGAAATTTCAGCTTTCGATTCATAATAGAAAAAAAAAACAGATTTTTCAAAGTTTTCCAAAATCCAAATCATAAGGTCCTTAGTTTCGGTTTTATATAATGTTATACAAAATGAATACAAATGCATATTATGATAATATGCGTTCCTGAATAATTTTCTTCCTGAAGAAACTTTCCTTCCCAAGTAAAGTTGCTTGTTCCATGAATAATCCATATACGAAAAAATTCCTTAGCAGATTAAACTAATGAATAACGCATACACCAAACCAAAAAGCTCCTCAATTTTAATTAAATTCCTCCAAAACTATGTTGTACTTTCGATAGTTCTCGAACCGAAACGAGTCGCGCCACAGAAAAATCCAAAAAAACTTTAAAAGGAATCTCGTTCAGTTGGAGCTTCTTTGTGATTTATCGATTTAGAGGGGTATTTATTAACCCGATTGTTCCCACCTTCATCCCTAGGTTTTCTCGCGGAGAGTCAGTACGATCGTTACCTCAATTACACCAATTATTATTTCAAACCCGACGTAATGAACTCGTTCCCGAGAATACACTAATTATACCTATATGGCGAAGCTGAATGCAACGTAATTTAAATTATTTTGTTGTTTTATGTAGGTGTACAATTCAAACTACAATCTCTTAGTAAACATCTAAAATATTGTCGTATCTAGGATAATAGGGCCTTTGGTTAATTAAACCCAATCGTCTTCCAAAAAAGGTTAATGAGTTTCAGGAAAATCATTGATTACGTCACGTTTAAATAACATTTGGTTGCAAGTTGAACGATTTCATGAATTATATGAGGAACCTGAACCCATGGAAGGTCAATGTCAACGATGGTTCACCGGTAATTTGTTATAATCAGCGATCACGGTTTTTGGAAGATGAGAGGGTAGTTTACAGACCGATAATTAACCGCGTTAGTTAGTCAGTGATAATAGTGCCTTTCAGTCCTGTGATAATCGTAAGTGCTCATATCTGAAATGTATTTGTGGTAAGCTTTATTTTACATTAATTTTTCTATTTTTGTACTGGGGTTCTAGTTTTGATTCTCACCTCCTCATAATCTCCATAGGTCCGACAATATCAGAACACAATTTGTTAATTTGATTTTGAAATATCTGACTTCTGGAAATACGTACATACATTTATAACTTTAGGCCAAAATTAGTCTCATGTTCCACTTATTCTAAATATCTGACTTGTAGCTTAATAAATAAGATTCAAAGCTCTTAGTATGAGGCTGTATACAACCGATACAAAAAAGATTCAAGCCAAAGCCAGGGAACATCAAAAAGATCCGACCCAAAAGAATTTCGACAAAATATTCGAATTTTGACTCAAAGGAAGCTACATTACTTACCTGAATGAAATTTACATAAAAATGCCTTCAAAATCAGTGAGCATGGAAGGTATTTCTTTTACTTTGTATAGTAACTCACTTGAGGAAACTCAGCCACGGACGTTAACTTTTACGGTTCAAGATTGTAAAATTTGCCTCTAAAATTATTCAAATTTGAGATTTTGGTTGGCTTCAAAATTTTACGATGATTGCCTTTCTGCATAATACCTTAACCCTCTTTCTCGTTACAATTTTGGAAAATCGAAAACAGTAGATTTTTGATAAAAGCACTTCCATTGTTTAGCATTAAAACGATTTGCGCACGTAAAAACCTCGCGCGAGGCTAAATAGCTCTTTTACGATGCTCTTCTACAAGTATTGTTTCCAA